GGACTTCTAGAGCCGATTTCATGCAAGGAGGAAGCAACCCAAGGTATATATAGATCTCTATTGTTGTCGAGAATATGAATCACGATGATTTAAAATAATGTTTTATTAAATTGATTGAAATGCAGCTTTCTCCCAAGATTTTGATAGATGGTCTCAATGGGGCACCAGCCACAAGACTATAAACATATGATGTGGTGCTACTTGTGGGATTAGGAATTGGAGCACACCCCATGATCAGTATTGTCAAGGACATAATAAAAAATATGCAATCGATTACATGTTCAGATATAAAAGCGGGAGATCATCAAATGGCAAAGACTTCAAAACACAAAAGGCATATTTCTATTGAGCGCGTGAACAGGGTTCGTTCGAGTGGTTCAAAGGGATAATGAACGAAGTGCGGAGATGGATGAGAGGCAAGTAATAGAATTACACAACTATTGCACAAGTGTGTATGAAAAGGAGATGCAAGATCATCTGATAGAATGCTGCTTCAATCTTACAACATGCTAAAATGGTGTGGATGTGGTCTCAGGAACAAGAGTTAAATCCCATTTTGCAAAGCCAAATTGGAGACAAGTTTACAGAAAATTGCACTCCATCACCCAGATTCTAGAATCGGTAAGTTCAATGTACCTGTCTTCCAAATTATTGTTGAAAAATGAACCAAATTATTAAGTTTTTGTGTATTATTTTATGCAGGAGTTTTCTATTTGTGGGGCACCGGCACACAAAGGAGCTAAAGCAATTGGCTTTGGACTTTCCTCACAAGACATCCACCAGTTTGATTTTCATAAGAGAATTCTGAACATGAAGATGATAAGACTCAGATTGGTGATATGCCTTGTAATCACCAAAAAATTACATCACCCAATTGCAAATAGTTTTAGCTTTTAATTTAGTTTAGTCCTACCACACGTGATGAAATCTTAATTGGGTTAACGCTATGATACCTCTTGTAATATTTTGAAAATTAATATTAATCATATTCATTAATTCATGTCTCAAAGTCCAATCTTTCGGCTACTAACTGTCTTCTACTAATTAAATTATTATACAATTTAATGGATGATTTTGTCACATATAGTATCGGGATCGGAAATTTACTAAAAAACACAAAAGTTTAAAAATTATACTTAAAAAAAAAAAAAATTATTTTTTAATAATTTGGAAAATTTGTTAGAAGCATTATAATTTTTCTGTTAAATTCAATGATAAATAACAGTTTATTGGGGTTTTCAAGTGTAATTTTTAAATTGCTACACTTTTTCATTAAATTTCTGAAAAAAATTATTCCAAACTAACAATAAACAAAAGAGTTTAGTTATACTAAAATGTTCGTACTTATCTAATCATCAGTATAGAGCACACTGTTAGATTTTTTTTTAATGAGTAAATTTAAATGCACATGAAAAAGGAAATTATACTGAAAAGAATGGCAAGAAAAAGAGAAAAAGCAAAAGCATATATTAATTTAAATATGTAAGAAAATCAATGGTCCTTCACTTCTGTACACAAATTTTGATATAAAGTTTTAAATTATCAATTTAAATATTTTGCATGATTGAGATAAAGTCTATATAATATAAAGATTTCTCAGCCTTATACATAAAAATATACACCATGTTTAAAATCACTTCAATATTATTGTCAAATGTTGCTTCCATCCACAGGAACAGTGATAACAATAATTGAGTAGGGTTTTTAGTGGGTGGGTTAAATCACGATGCACGTACAAATTACAGTTGATGATATTATATGTTGTTATTAAAAAATCTAAGATGAGTGTTTATGTATATGATTATTGGATGGAGGTTTTGTCCCATCCAATGTTTTGATCTACATTCAATTTTATAAGGGTTTGGACATATATCCTTGAAATTTGAAAGTTACATCCATTTGAAACCCTTAAATTCATATCTAATTGTATTGTAGTACTCCCCTAAAACATTTTTTTTTTATGACCGAGGGTGTCTTACGCATATCTCAACTAATCTCCCGATACCCTGAAACTATCAGTCGGATAAGAGTTTCAGTGGTCACCCCTATTAACAACTGAAGAATGACTCAAACTCAAAACCTCTTAAATAATATACCCAAGAGTCCTTATCAAATCCCTCAATCACTTCCTTAAAACATTAACTTAACATTATTATTATTATGTTTCAATCACTTACTTAAAATATTAACTTAACATTACTATTATTATGTTTCAATTAGATGGATAGAAACAATAGACCAATAATTGAGAATAATTTTCAATGAATCTGATTACTTGATTGCCATTGTGTCCCCTTAAATGCATGACGTCAACATTATAATCATGTTACTTCCATCCACATGAACTAGCGGAAAGGTTTTCAAATGAGGTTGTTTCAAACATGATATATATAGTGTACAACTACACTTATTGACATGATATATCGTTATTAATGTAATTTAAGATAAGTGTTTCATTATCAAATCACACGTGTTAAGGTTTTCAAATTAGGTTGTTTTAAACACGATATATATAATGTATAACTACATTTATTGACATTAATGTAATTTAAGATAAGTGTTTAATTACGACAAACGTGCAAATCACACGTGTTAATGTGCTAATGGTTTACAAATCATAGATGTTATGAGACTGATTCGAGATAGACGTTGAATTACAATACACATATCAATCATACACAACTTAAAAACAAAAATAAGATGAACGTTTAATTACATCGAACATTGTCTTTTCTACAAAGTGGCCCGGATTTAACCTAACTTGTGTGGTTAGATGTTGGGAAAACCAAACCATGGTCATTGGCCAAACTATAAATTATTAATTATGTCAATTATTTTAATGCCCTTATTTCAAAAAGCAAATCTTCCTTTTTGACATAATAATCCCAATGAAGACAAAATTGAATCAAACAAAATTCACCCACTTCAATGACCTGTATTCTTCTACGCGTAAAACACTCACTGGCATTAGCCTGGACCTCAACATTTGAGATGACAAGATACATGCACTTGATCGACAGTATACACCATCCAAATCCAAATGAGACCTATTGTTTGAGACTGCCTAAACGACAATATAATGTATAGTACAAATATCTTTCTACTGTTAAAATAAATGTCATATTTATTAACTCATCACTCCTCAACGGCAATGGATTTGTATTATTTCTAAAATCTAAAGGCAAATTTTTTATCTGATTAAAATAAATTGGCCCCCATAATTTGTTGAATATCACAATTTAGCTTCCTTCAAATACAATTTACCAGATTTAATTTTACACTTGAATCCCCATTCAATCGAAGGTTAATCAGGGATTCATAGTCAATTGTTACACAAACTTGACCCGAAAATGGAACTTAATAAATTAATGCTTGGAAGCTTCCCTTTCAAGATCACCAAAAGCTTCTTTCCTTTTCCATTTTTTCGGAGTCAACAAAAATCAAATGTCAAAATTCTTTTAATAATTAAGGAGACATAACCAAGTTGAATGCTTAAATTGAAAATAAATTTTAGGAAAATTCTACATATCCATTTCTAAACCCACTGCAACCTATCTTCCAATGTATCTAAGGATTTTATTTTTTTTTTATTCTTTTATTTTTTTTTTATTTCAAATTAATCTAAAAATTTTTAATTTGAAATTAACGTGTCCATGAGAAGTCAAAAGAAAAAAACAAAAATTGTATCTTCATTATTTTGATTCCAAATATATTAGAAATCGAATAAGTTAACTTCTTGGTTAACCGTACTTTGAAACACCAAATATTCCAATAGAAATTGAAAATAACACCTAGGCCTTTGCCAGTTATTTGAAGAATTTTTTTTGTAAGTCTAAAATACCCCTAATCTTTCAATTTTTATTTTCTCATAATTAATAGACTTATTCTAAAATTTTGACAAAATTTTCAGTTAACAATAGTTTTTTTTTTTTTTTTTAATAATAATTACTTTTACATAATACAAGATTAAGGGCATTTTAGACTTTTACAAAAAATTAAATAGTTGGTAACTAATAAGGACCTAAGTGTTACTTTCAGATTCTACTGGACCTATCAATATACCAAACCTCAGCGACCAAAATATATTTAACTCATAACCCGACCCTCGTTCTCATAATATCAGTTGCGCCACAGGAATATGGTAAACTCTATATATGATGAATGCTAATTATAAAAGAATATCAATGATAATACAATAAAGAAGAACTCATCTTGTTCTTGTATGATAACAAATCATCCTCAGCTACTCGACGAACAAGTATCATCGACTCATCTCATCGGATCAAGATATCTAATAATCTTAGAAAATAAACGGTTTATAAAAGAAATCACAGAAATTGAGTTTCCCTCTTCACTTTAGATAGGGCATAAACTTAAGATCTACATGAAAAGCACCTATGATAATGTCTTCAAGATAATAACAGATAAGTTTTTGATACAATGACATTTCTATGAGATTCTCAAGACCATCCTTTCCAAACCTTTTGAATGGTTTCTTGGGGATTATTCCAAATAACTCCTATTTGTGTTCCAATAAAACTTAAAACGACGTCCTATTGGTTTCATTAGGCTAAATTCAATAAATCTATTCTATCTTCTGTTTTCTAAACTAATTCCCTGCCTTGAACCTTAATTTCTCTAGAGTTCCACAACAAACAGAAAATTAGAAAATATTTTACACCTAAATATACAAACTAATAGTCAAGGAAACAGTGTATCACTCCATGTTTGCATATAAATAGTGACAAGCAATGTCAGGATTATATTTAGAATAAACAATAATATGATCGAAAGTAATTTAGACTTAAGGATGCAATTGGTTTCTCACTCCAAGAAATAGAGATGCAGTGTCTCATACGACATAAACTCACAAGTCAAGCAAAGTGGAATGCAGATCAGCATTGAGACTTTGCGGACTTTGCGGTCCAATGTTAATTAGAATTTTTGTTTGGTTAGTTTGAAAATTTCCAACATTAAGCATTTTCCTTCAGCAAACTTGGTTAACTTAATTAACCTGACAAAAGACTTCAAAGTACCTCTCTGTGGTTCAAGAAAAGAAACACAAAAGAAGCCAATTTCGAACCTCAAAGAAGTGTATAATTTAGATATTAGCAGTACATCGCAAATATGATGGTTCTGAAGTTCCAAAACATGACGTATGAAGATAACTAAAGTACGCTAAATGAAAAAACAAAATTGCGTTAATAAAATCTGTTATTGACTTTTTTTCATACCCTTTCCATTTTTACCTTTGGAGGAATGAGAAGAGTCTACATTTTTTTTAGTGTCAGGACCTGACTCACTAGAAGGTTCGGTTACTGTGATATCGGTAGAGTACTTTTTGATCCGCAAAGAAATTGCAATGCTTGATACAATCCCAAGTAGGGGAAAGAGGTAAGACCAGACCTGAGATTTTTTTGAGCCAGATGCTGAAGCAACAGCAGCACCGGCGAGGCTGCCAATAGACGTGTTCTGTAAGATCATTGGCAGACAGCCAATAACTGTAGGGAGCAGAAAATCCACCACGAAACCAACTTTGGTGGCAGCTAAGGCATAGTTTATGAGATATGAGGGCATGGGTGAGAAGCGAGCAAGAAGGACAAATTTCCAACCATCTCGTTCAACTCCTCTTAAAAGAATATGGAAGTATTTGTTACTCTGAACCCAATTCATTGCTGATGTTGAACTCCTGAAAATTAGCCTGAACAAATCCACGATGTCAAAAGGGTTCTCAAAAGAAATTTAAAAAACCACAGAGAGAGCAACAAAAGAGGCAGAATCCTAAGGGAAGTGTTTTGGCTCAAGATATAGAAATTCTAATATTTTAGAGAAACAAACCATTTCTGTAAGTCATGGTGAATTTATTTATGTTTCCTGGTTCAAGGTGTCCTCTCTAGAACAGGTTGTAAGTATGTGACACCTTTGCATTTTATTATTCAATACAAAAACACAGTTTCAGGAAAACGAAGGAAAAAGAAAACTATCAATCATGCTAAAGTAAAAATTGCATAATTCCACCAAGACAATTAAATTCTGGACAATTCTCCTTATCTTAACCTCAATTTGTATCACACAAAATTTCAATATTAAATCCATTTTCTAATAAATAGTTTACAATTTTGGAACTCTTACAGTTAAAAGTTAGTATTTCAGCACACTTATTATTCGACTTGTTTCCAAATGCCGACATGCTGTAAAATGCAGCATGAATTAGACTTATTGATTGCTAGACTTACAAATAAAATAAAAAAATATCTCTATTGTTCAGATATAATTTGTTTTTGAGTCAGAGGAGTTGCTACAAATCTATCCATTCTATTGAGATTTTCCATTTTTTTTTTTTTTATTTTATTTTATTTGGGAGTAAGGTTACATTAAAGTCTATTTAAGAACCATGATGAGAACAAAAGAGTCAAATATTTCATCTAACACTTGCACAGACATTGGTTTTGGTACCCTTAAAAACACCAATTGGTATTTTCCAATTTTTTATGTAACACCCAAAACCTAATATGTGGCAACCACATATTTTATGTGCAAATGAAACCAAGATTCAATCTGAGAACTTCTAATATATATATAGGTATTCTCTTTTGTGGAAATCCCCATTTTTTTTTAAATCTATACCTCAACTCTAAGAGGCAAGAGTAGAAATGAATTCATGAAATTTTGTCTTTTATTAAATTCAAGTTAACAAAAATAAAAAAATAAAATTTTGTTAACTTTTATCAACTCACACCTCTTGGAGTTGAGCTGTCGATATTAAGTCTACATTTTAGGTCCACACATAACAGGCTCGAAGATAATTGCTAAATTGTGGACCTCTAGCATACACTGTGTCATAAATTGGAAGGGCTAAAAACCACAAAATTGTTAAAGTATTAAGCTGTCAGCACAAGACATTTCAGTTTGTGCATGGAGACTTTAAAAAGTCTCAATGCTCACAACTTTTTTACATATTATTTCATATTAATATATTTAATAAACAATAAACAATAAACAAATGCATTCAATCCATTTAAACAATCAACTGCAAACTCCACTACTCTCCCAAATCATCCGAAAACTCTCCTATCAATTTTTTTGATAGGAAACACTAGCATATTGAAGTATAGAAAAAAGATACAAAGGAGGACCAGGTGTCCACTGTAAGAGACATAAATCACTACAAAAATCACAAAAATCTTGTATATATGAACACTGAAAAGAGAGAGAAAACAGCACCCCAAAAACCACAAAATCAGAACACCTCAACTCAGAGCCCCTATCCAGTTATGAAAGATGAAGAAAAATGAGGTATCTTGGAAATCTCTTGTAATTGACACCAAAAGAGCAGCTCCTCTCAATAACAGGAGCTACATAACCAAATGATAAGCTTAGTAGATTCCATATAGAGGCAGAATTTTCAAAATTCATCCAAAAAAGAAAGATAACTAAACTACAGTTCTGTTTTGGAATATTAATAATTTTCAGCTAATGTCAATATTTAAAAACAAAACTTAATGTACTGGTCTCAACTAAAACTCGTTGATAGATTAAAAAAATATTAAAAAATAAAAGGCAAAGTTTACCATACTTCAATCAATTTACGTATTTGAGAGTTAGGTGTTCATTTAAAGTCCGTAATAAAGGTCCATATCTGAAGAATTTCAAATATACAGCATGAATTCCTAAGGATTCTGCATCCAAAAGGAAACACAGAGTAATGCTATGATCCTGTTAAATTTGAGTATAAATCCCAATATGATTATCATGTACTAAGATCATAAATCCTTCTTTCATGGATAAAACACCTAATAGACTTAACAAAAACGATCTTAAGTTCTAGATTCAATCAAGAAAAAGTTTTTACATACACCACAAAAATGCAACTGACACAAACATATTTATAAATAAGGCCTAGGATCCCCTCAAATGACAGACTAGAACATCATCATCATACATTCTCCACAAATGAGCAAACCCTTGATAATACTCTAAGTCAATGTTTTATCTAAAACTTGGAATAAAATTACTGCTATATACATTATAGACGGTTTTATTACCTAAAATCAAAGAGAATCTCTACCTTTTCACTTATGAATACAAGCTATATAATTGCACTTTAGGTGCATAAGCAAAGCAATTAAAACCAACTCGGGAAAATAAGACAACTTCAACGACCTCGAATTCTCATGAACTTTTCAACAATAAACCAAACAAACACATGCAATTACACAAAGCCACAAGTAGTTTTCATTGAGTAATGCTAGACTTAAAAAGCTTGAATCTTGAAGTAACAACGCCACATTAATTATTCTTAATATAGCACTGACTGAGTGCGTTACTTTTCTGCAAATATGATACTGATCCAAAGTTGTGATCCGAAGTTCCGAACTTTGCATACATATTGTTAAAGTATATTAAATCAATCCATCTTCTAAAATGCCAAAACACTCTCAAACAATAAATCAAACATCTAAACAAAAAAAATTCACCTGCAATCTCCTAATAACCAATATGGGTAAAATAAAAACACAAAATAACATTAAAAATCAAGAAAGGTAAAAGAAAAGAACCTGCCGATCCAGAATGAGAGAGAAGCTCCAAGAAGCTTAGCTGAGAAGACACAAAGCACAGCTGGGAAGAACCCGAAAAGAAGAGAAGCAGCTGCCTCAAAGAAGACGGCGTAAGGCAAACAAAGGGCGATAGTGAGAGTGTGAAGTCCAACAAAAGCTGGCATCGCCCAAACGCCGAGTTGATCGGACCACCCGCCCAGAAATTTGATGGTGGCGTCTTTGTCCCATCCGTATTGCTTGCTTAATTGCCTTAAGATTGCTATTACGGCTACTATCAATCCTATTTTCCACCATTTCGCCATTGTTGTTTCTCTTGTTTTTGGGTTCTGTAAGACTCGGCATCGAGATGAAGACGACGACAAGAATCTTGACTTCTTGTTTACTGAAATATTGGGCTCAAAGCCCATTGATAAAATTCACTTACATTACTTTTTATTGGGCTTTCATAAAATAACAAAGTCTCACTGTTAAAATTTATAACACGATGAGTTCATCTTTTAGTGTTACGATAGGAGGCATTTTATTAAAAGACTTAAGTTCAAATTCAATTAAAGAACCATGAAGTTTTAAAGTGTTAATTAAATAACTTTATTATTGAGTAAAGGTAATTAAACATGATTAGTGGTTAATTAGGATTAATGAAGTATTGTGTAATCTTTTAAAAGTAAACTATGTCCCCAAAAACCCGAAATTCTTGCAAACAAACTCAAACACCTTCTTCTTCTTCCTCCCGCCATTAATGCTGGTTGTTGTTTCTTCTTAGCTTCGTCTACATCTTCTTCTTCCTCCACCATTAACATTTTCTTCTTCCTCCGTCGTTAACATCTTCTTCGCTAAAGATTTGTCTCCTCCTCCTCCTCCTGACATTTCATCCAGGTATGTGTATCTCCTCTTTGCATTTTATATTTCAATTTGCAAAAATTTAATGATGGATTGGGTTTGGGTTATGATTTTGATTTAGTTGTTTAGGTTGTTGGGTTATGTTTGATGTAATGCAAGTTGAAATGAGTGAAATTTGTTGAATATTTTTTTGCATTGTGGGTAGCTGGGGTGGTAGCACCGATTGTAGGTGGAGATGACTAAAAATGTGTTCTAGATCTAATGGATTGTTTAAGCGATTTGGTATGTTTGGTATAATGCAGCAGATCGCTTAAGCGATTAGGTATATGACAGAAGATTGCTTAAGCAATCTGCTATAAGTCTGGTATATGACAGAAGATCGCTTAAGCGATCAGACTTATTTATATCAGATCGCTTAAGCGATCCAATAAGCGATACACTAGATCTCCTAAGCAATACACCACATTGCTTAAGCGACTTTGCAAATGATTTTTAAAATATGTCAACCCTTAATATATTGATTAATAATTCTCGTTTTCTTGCATTATAGGTACTTGGCTATTATTAGACATGTGGCAAGTTGTTTTGGATGTTGAATACTTTGGTGTGTGTGTGGAGGAAGAAAGTTATTGGAAGTAGATTGGGAAGAGCAAACAAGTTAAAGCAATTGTTGTGAGTACAGAAGTCAGTTTTAATGAGTTGATTAGTGAAATCACTAGAAAATGTGGGTTAAGTTGCTCACGTAGTGATATTGTTGTGAACTATGTTTTAAGTTGAGTTCCTGCAAATTTTAAGGTACTCGCTGTTGTATTAATGTCTGATGAAGATGTGAAGTTATATATGCTTAACGTGGGCAATAATGGTTCAAGGCCGATTTTAACGATTTCGGTTGTGGATAAAGCTTTGGAAGTTGGTTCAAAAGTAAGCGGTGATTTGGGTGGGGAGAATGTTGGTTTTAATTTTAATTACGAGGGCATTAATTTCTTTGTTGAAAAATCAAGAGTATGTGTTGATTTGGGTGGTGAGGAGGATACTATAGAAGAGGTTGGTCATGTTGGGCAGAATGAAAATGCAGACGAGGAGGACCTCATACATGTTTCCGCAGATGTAAAGATTCCTATAAATACATATTATGCAAAATGTGTAGTTTGTGAGGAAGAGAACATTATGGTCTTTTATGTAGGTTCAGAGGTGGCAATTGTGGGTACTAGTGAATTACCTCATGTTTTTACTGATGTATCAAACTTGCGCGTAGGGTATTTATTTGACAACAAGGAGGAAGTGGTGAGGAAGCTAAAACTTGTTGCGATGAGAGGTAATTTTGAGTTCATCACCAAAAAGTCTAGTTCACGGTAGTGATGGTTGCATGTCGTGACCAAAAGTGCAAGTGGCGAGTTTATTGTAGAAGGTTGACGAAGTCCGAAAAATTTATTGTTAGCACATATATGTAATGCCCACTTGAGGTACGTAGGTAATATATGTAGTATTGCCTAAATGTTCATTGATTTGCCCTTAATTGAGTTTACATGTTGTTAATATTGTTTGGTTGGCCCTTAGTTGAATTAGTGTTTTGGTTTGGTTGAGGGGTTGCCCTGAAAATTGTAAAGACTGGGCGAAATCTTGGTGTTACAGACTTTGCTGGGGCGAAGAATAAGATTCGCTGTGGCGACGTAGGTTCTGTAATTTTTCGCTGGGGCGAAGAAAGAGTCTTCGCCGCGGCGAAGAGCCAGCTGAAATGTTTGATGAAGTTTCTAGAGAATTTTCCATAGGGGCAAAGTGACCATTCTACCCCTAATTAGCAGCTAAAGTGGGGAGTGAAATGTAGGAAAAATTCATAGAGAATGTATTAGAGTTGGGGGTGTGATTGCAATGAATTAAAGGATAAAGATGGAATTCTAAGAAAGTGTAAGGGCAAAATGGGAAAGAATGTTTGTAAAATGAGATATTAAGGGTTTAGTCTTAGAACAACCCCTCATTTCTCTACTTCCACCGCCATACCCATTCTTCATTTTCTCTCAACTTCCCACTCAATTATCTAAGGACTTTTAGAGGGCTTTTGAGTGGTTTTTGGTAAAGAGTTAAGCCAAAGCATCCTAAGGTAAGATTTCTTGCTATATACATATGAGATTAATTTATAGAAGTGTTGAAGTCTTATAGTATTATTGTTTAAGGTTTTAGAGAAAGGACTATCTACCAAAGGAAAAGAGATTCTAGTAGAGTCACTCAATCACAAGGTAAGTAAATCCAACCCAAGTTAAGGTTTAAAAAATCACTTGAGTAGAGATTTCTTTATGTATGTATATGTTATGCTTGTTGAGAAATTGAGATGAGATGTGTACTTATTTATGGTTGTTGGATATGTTTAAATTATGAGAAGTGTTTTTGGATGAGTGATGAGAGATTGAAGTTGGGTTGAAGTTGGAGGAGTTTTGAGTAAACTTTTTAGGAGTGTTTTTCCTTGATAGGAATTATGATCATACAAGGGAGTTTCTTCCCATTTTGGATGGTTAAAGAGAGAAGTAGAGTTATAATTAAAGTAGAGTTTTTGTATGCACACTTATTGTTTGATGAAATACCTAAGAGAAGCATGAGTATGAGCAAGGAACCTTAGATTATTGTAACATTGCATATTTGCATTTCATGAGTGCATTTAATGAGCATGAGCCAACCACATGCATATATTTTGCATTTGTGTAATAGCTTGAGAAAGAGTATAGAATTCTAAGAATAAAGCACTTTAAGAGTAAAGAGAAAGAGAGAATAAAAGAAAGAGAAGTGTTAAAGAGGAGAATAGAATAGGTTGTGCGATGGGGAACCCATGAGTGATGGGTAGAGTATTGCCGCATATACGCCACATTGAGAGAGCGGCCTGAGCATGAGAGAAAGAATTTGTATAGCCCGTGAGAGTACATGCGGATGAGGGCTATACCCGAGAGTACCTAAGAGAAAAAATACGCTCACATGGCCAAGGGTTCCGAATCCATGTATAACCGAGTCCGATCGACAAAGAGTAAGAGAGCATGAGAAAGAACAGAGAAAGGGAAAGAGAATTAGTAGAAACGAATTGGGAGAAATAGAGAAACCGAGATAGAGAATGGAAAGAATAAGAAGAGAAAGAAAATGAGAAGAGAGTAACGTAAGGAAAGAATTAAGAAAAGAGTTATGGGGATAGAGGAGTAGAGGATTTACTTACTGAGCATTGTTTGTGCTCACCCCGTTGTTTTCTATGTTTTTGTAGGAAATAGGTGAGGATGCGGTCGGATGGACGTCGGCAAGCGAGGAGCAATAGTTACACTGTCTACTATTTTTGATAGTTTTGTACATGAGATTTTGTACCATATAAAGAATGTATATATTTTAATAAAAGAAAAATTTGAGCCCAACTACTTTTGTTACTATACATGTATTTTTATTATGTGTATTTTTATGAGTATCTTAGTAGAAAAAAGTTATTACAATATACCCATGAGCACACATGTGGGTTAGGACATATTTCAGGCGAGCATCGACAAGCCTCCACTAATGTTATTGTTCAATTTGTTAAAAGTCAGTTTGTCGAAGGGAAATGTCTATCTCCTAACGACATTCAGAGACCTGTGCACACAGAGTTGGGATGCGATGTTAGTTACTAGAAATGCTAAAAAGGGAGACAACATGCACAAGATTTTGTGAGGGGCACGTTGAAGCACGAGTACGCAGTATTAGAAGCGTACCATTATATGCTTGAGTTGACAAACCAAGGTAGCAAGACGACTTTGAAGTGGGACGAGAATATGAGGTTTAAATATATTTTTTTGTTGCTTACGGTGCTGCTATAAGGGGTTTTATGAACATGAGAAAAGTGTTGGTAATTAATGGTTGTTTTTTGACAAGCAAACATGGAGGTACATTGTTGGTGGCCACTACACAGGATAGCAAGAATCAAACATATCGCATTGTATAGTATGTGGTTGACTCAAAGAACGACAAGTCGTGGACTTGGTTTTTTCAGCAATTATTTACAATAGTGTCTGACAATGATGAGTTGTGCATAATATCCAATAGGCACAACTCTATAAAGAAGGCGATTGCCATTATTTACCCTCTAGCATATCACAGATTCTATATGAGGCACCTTGGCGAGAATATAAAACAAAAGTTTAAGTGTGTTGGCCTCCTTTAAACATACTACATGGCAGCAAAAGCTTATTGAGTTGATAAGTTTGAGGAGCACTTCCGGAAAATCTGAATCAAGGATGATAGAATTGTTAAGTATCTTGAGTATGATGTTGGTTTTGAGCGATGGATTAGAGCTTACTTTCTTGGAAGAAGGTTCGATGTCATGACCACGAACATAGCCGAGTCCATAAATTCGAAGTTGTTAATAGAAAGAGAGTTTCCAATTTTTTCCATTTTTTATGCAATCCAGAGGACATTGTTACGGTGGTTCCATGAGCGTTATGCAGAGTCAGATAATTCTACCACAACCCTTGTTCCGTTGGTTGAAAAATTATTACGAGAACGTATGAAATTGTCAAATGCATTGTTTGCC